ATGAGCTCAGGTTATGTATAGTAGCTCAGGTTGCAGATCAGGTTTTCGTGGATGACAGTTTGATCTTCAGTCGCTCCACTTTCAGAGGTTTCCTTTGACCACTAAAGTTGTTCCAGATAGCAGGTCATCTGCCATGCATGGCAGCTGTGTCACCACTGGTGTGTGAATTTTCCAAGCTATTATTTCAAGTAAAAGTTCAAACTTTCAGAGTCTTGGAAATGTGGAAAACGCAGCTTAAATCCCAGAGATTACATGTCTGCTATTTTCAGACAGCTTCCCTGCATACGCTTGACACCATGTGGTAATTGTAGTAAGCAGAACATGTTAACACAACATGACTGTCATTAACTCCTTTCTGACACAAAATGTACAATATGTGTTAATAATAATAGAACTGAATTGTAGTGCATTTGCCATCCATCCATCTGTGCTTTCAGCTGCTGGGATGTGGAAATGAGCTACACTCTAACCCTGTGTATGAATGATTAATAATATTATTTACAGTCGAGACAGTATTTGGACAGTTATATGCGCAGCAGTGGAGTGCCAGGTTTCAGCTTTAATTTTAATTTCTGTTTTGCATCAATATTTAACAAAGTGGGTGGTAGTCGTGGCCCTTTAAAACACATGGAACCCAAACTGCACGGGTTCAAAATAAAATTGGACACTTGGTTATTAAATCTTTCTTGGAGAGCTATCTGTCATTTCAACCGTAGTTCACAAACCAAAAACCGCACACATGGCTCATGGAGAGTTTATTTAGAGTTGCCATTCAGACTGAGGGGGAGCTGTCTGTGAAAAAAGCTCTGCCTTGCTCTCTGATATATGTGAAGACTGTCATAGCGAGAGGCAGGGTGCACCCTGGCCAGGTCGCAAGTCTTTCACATTTAATTCGTGGGGTTGAATTAATGAGCTGCATTAACTGTTTAAGCATCTGGGGCTCAAGAATAATTAGACAGTTGACAGATAGATTTAGATAGAGTTTTATGCCCAGGTGAATTCCAAATTAAGAAGATAAAAGCCCTGGAGTTTATTCCAAGTGCTGAACTTGCATTTAGTTACTGTTCACTACAACTCTCAATATGAGGTCCAAGGAGATGTCGATGCAAGTGAAAACCCAAATTAACCTGTTAGAGGGAAAAAAGTTTAGGAGTCACTTTAAAAAGGCGTGTGATGGAGATCAGGGATTCTGTTACATTTCCCAGTATTATTATTATTATTAATTTAATGGGGGACTGATACAAAATTATATATTTTATTTTTGGTAGTATTATTTAAGTGATAGTTAGTGGAAGGTGAAGAAACGGGGGGTGGCGGTGTGTTAATGTTAGTAGAACTTACCTGCAAGAGTAGAAGGAGCTCAATCACTTGCTTATGACGCATCTGGCATAAACCAATGTGCAAGGCTAGGGGAGTTTAGGTTAAGATGTTTCTGATAAATATAACTGATTAAAGCATATATGTTGTTGAACTATTTATAGGAATGTACTTTTTTTTACTAGGTTTTACTACCCCAAGACTTGACCTGAGGTAGATAGAGTACTGCTGCTTTTCATAGTGGCTGGTATGTGTTGTGTTTGTGAACACTCTCACTCTTGTATTCAGCTATTAAAAGGTTTCTGGTCAAGGTTTGGGTCAAACTACTGTAACTCTTGATCCACTAGCACAGTCGAAAAATGTTAACGGCTCTTGAAAGCATTAACTCTTTTTCAGTGATATTAGCGTCATTGCGGTTATCCCAGACACGGCACCACAGAAACATGGTGAAAAGATGACAAATGTCTCATAAAATGTCTGTGTTCTGTAGAGCTCCATCACAAACACTCACACTACTGTCTCGCAACCAACCTCCGTCTTTGCGGTGCTGCTGTGACACTGTTCCTGGGTTTCCCGTAATCACCCTATTACCACTGAAAAGCACAGAGTCACTGCTTTGAGGAACTGTTGGAACTCTTTCAATTGAGCAAGTGGTTCAGGAGTTAAAGAAGTTGATAACATATTGCAAAACAACCATCTGACACCCGACACAGGTTTCGCTGTAGAGGGTTAAAGACCACAAGTTGGTGAATGACTTTTATCTGAACTCCATGCCTTTTTGTTCAAAACACAAGCAACCACTGGCTAAACTCAAAGGTGTGAACTACCCAGTGCATTAACACCATGATGTCTAAAAGATGGCAAGAAGACAGATAAAATGGATGATCGCAGAATTCTTTCCTTGGTTAAGAAACATGTGTGTTCTTCAATCACATCAAACACCAAAAAAACATATTTGTCAGAAATTCCATGCCTGCATTCTAGTAAGAAATCTCACGTTCTCTGTCAAATATGGTGGATGACAGATTTTTAACATTTAGCAGAAAAGGAACATAAGGTTAAACATAAGGTCAAGTAACAAAAGTGGCTGAATGAAGGCCGAGAGAAACTAAATGCTGAGGAAGAGCTAATGGTGGCTACAGTAAAGGTCAGGGAGAGCATCACCATACAAAGATGCAATATCTGTGGGATATGATTTAAAAATTTAAAATAATTTGTGATGTAATTTAAGATAGGAGTTGTGTTTAGGCACAACAGAGACTGTACAGTGCACAGTAAAGAGAGTTAAGATACTTATCTGAGAATCTTGGTCAAGTTGTGCAAGTTCCTGGCTCACCCGTTGAACGGCCACTTCAAAAAGTTAATTCCGAGAAGGTTTCTCATGAGCAGGACCAAGAGATCTCGCATTGCTATCATCCACCTGCAAAAATCACTGCCATTGTGGGAACAGTCAGTGATGATGGCCGGGATTCGGGACATCGCCAAGATCTGCTGCACTCTGCACATTGAGGATTACCAATGGTGCATGTGTCAGAATGCTGAAGGCAGGAGTTCAGATGACCTTTGACTAGCTGGCTTTGGCTTCTCCCAAAGGCTAAATGCTGCCGTCACAACCCAAGCAAAAACAGAGGGCTGGACGGGCTCTTTGGAAAGAACTCTTGGAACAACCTCAAAGCCGTAAATTAAATGTTTTTTGCTGTCTATGACATCTAAGACAAATAAAAGGCTGGCTGCACTAAATAAATGAATAAATAAATAAAGAACACATCACTCCTACTAGTGGCAGTCAGTCACACTGCTTTCATACTAATTAGTAGATTCAGAGTTATTATAAGCAGCAACATTTCTTCATGTCATCTTGTGGAAATTAAGAAGTGCAATCACTGCCATCATTACTGGCAGCTGAGACACTTGCTCGATGGTCTAATGTGCCACAACCAGAGGAAAGACAGTCTTATGGAAGTGCTGATACAAATCCCTTTGTTTCACTTTGAGTAAATGGTAGTTTCAGATCTATGCAGTCCTTGCAAAACAATGAGCTACACTGTTTATAATGCATGTTTAGAGGCAAAAGAAAAAAACAGCTGTTTAGTTTCTACTGAAAAGAGGATAAACAGTGGCTATGTTGCATGAGTCTTTATTTTTCTACTTTAAATGAATCCCATGAAAAGAAAAACGATGCTGTTTTATTGTGAAATATGTATATTCTTGGCTTAAGTCGTAAGCAGTGACTCTGTAAAAGTTCTGTTAGCTCAACATTAAATCACTCACTGTCCTGTAATAATTGTTGATTTTATTTAATGATTGACAGAATGTTTTTTTCTTTTTTTACTGTAAGCCCATAGAAAAAAATCATAAAATGTTTTGAATGGCTGTAAGGAAGGTCTTTATGAGTAGGTAAAGCTGTAAAACGTATGTAAATGCATTTTCCAAAGTCATCCAGTGGGACAGATTAGAGTCTTTGGTGGACCATGTGTTTGATATTTCTGAGCTATAGTGTTAGAGCTCCTGTTTTATCCTGCTTCAGTACAATGTCTCAAACACTTTAGTGTCACATAGTATTAGGAAATGATCTAGTCTTGTTAAAAACAAATAATAATAATAATAATAATAAGCGATTAACTGACAGACATTTTTAAAGATTTTTGTTTACAGCTTTATGTAAGTTATAGCAATAAATAAATAAAAACCCACATTTCCATTACTGACTTCAGAATGAACTGGGGCAGCTACCAGTATTAGAGAACATATCGATCTAGAATGGGGAGGAAAATTCCTGCAGTGATAAGTGATGATGATGATTCAGTAATGAAGATTAAGACAATTTTGTAGACAATTATCAGGATGAAGATGATTAGGACGTAACTGTCGCTCAGCAGGGTTTCTTTGTCTGTGCGGATGTTAAAAGCAAACATGGCTGTTGGTGCCATCTGGTACCTTGTGGTATGCTTGGGAATTAGTCATGCTGAATATATACTGTCTCAGGGAATTTCTTTTGTCATTTTGCCATTTACATGGTCTTCCAACAGTAGGTCCTAGACCGTTTTCCATCTGCATGCATTTCTCTTCTGAAGCACATTTCCAATTTCCTTTCATCTTGGGCCTGATGCTTGGGATGTCAGCACTTGTAATAGATAGAGTGTTTCATTTGGCGCTACAGATGCTGCACCCTCACACATGCATATGGCTAAGCTAAATTGCTAAGTGTCTGCTAAGGTTTTCCTTGTTTCTCATACTGGAAGGGATGCTATAAAAAGCTCATCATATAATTTCACTGTGCACCACTGTTTTTAGAGACTTTTATGATACGTGGTGAAAAGCAATTTCATCTTTCTGTGTGTATTTAGAATTATCATTTTATGAATATCATTTCTTTTCTGGGATTTTTTTTTTCTTTTCAATTATATATGCAGATTCCCCTGCAATTTGATTCAAAGTCAGTCAAGATTTAATGGATTCCTTTTATTATCTTCCGACAAATTGCCTTTTTAGTGGGAAGAGTGTTTGCATTATTCATTTGTGAAAGAGCAAGCATTTATGAGTTCATTTAGTTTAGTTCTGGATGAGCTCAGCGACCAACAGAGGGGCTCAGAATGAGTCATCACAATGGATGATGAAGCACACCGCGTGTGATGAATCTCATCTGACCCCTGAACTCTTGTCTTGCTGTCTTGACTGTGTAGGTGATTCAGCGCAGGGAGGACGGCTCAGTCAACTTCTTCAGAGGATGGGAATCTTATCGTGAGGGATTTGGCAAGATCACCGGAGAACACTGGCTGGGTAAGTGGCTCAGGTGTGTGCGTGTGTGTGTTCCGCAATGTATGACTCATGCGCAAGACTGCCGAGGATGGTGAGCCAAGCTCGGGGGAAGGAGATTTCACACAGTATATAAATGTTGGTCATCTTGTGAGTTGACAAAAAAGTAAAAGAGAGAAAAACACTTAGTCATGTCAGGTGATGGAGCAAGATGAAAGAGACACCCAAGAAGAGGCCGACAGATAGAGATGAGTTTGACCCTTCATAGCATCAACAGAGCAGCAATAGCTGTATTACTGACAATGAAAAATGCTGCGGTAACAGAGAGAAAGAACTACAAGGATGTTTTATTGTGATAGCCACTCAGAACAACACAGGCCAAAAGACCTGCAATGCAATAACAATATTTTTGGTTTTTCATATGCCAAAACACACAACAGTGTAATTATTATTGCAGCTTTTTCAGTGGTCACCGTCTGCTTAAAACAAGTATTTTTTCAACCAGCGCCTTTTCCAAATCCTTATATTTCTCACTGGCAGCCAGGCATATTAGTCTATGCCTCCCCTTAAAACTTGACAGGCGAAAGAATGCCAACAAAAGAATTCATTCGACTGTGAAATTATCGACTTTTCCGAAGCCAAATTCTTTGCCTTCACACCACTTCTCATTAAATGTACCAAAATATTTCTTTGTGGGGAGGGGGAGTTGCGAAGGAGGATCCATGCACATCATGGTCTAAAAGCAAGTTTCTCACAAGGATGAGGGCAAATTCGTGATAGCTGACTAAATTAGAAACATTTCCGGCTGTAGAATTAAATTCTGTGGCGACATCTAATCACTTTTTTCGCAGTCATAGTCAGCGTCTTTATAGGATATCAGTAATTGCTACATGGCGTCAGCTCTTAACATCAGCCAAAGTCATTGTGAAACCTATAAAGTCTTTTTCCTATAAATCTGTGTTTTTATTAAAAAAACCAATATGTCATCCATGGAGAACAGTGACCTGCTTCGTATATTTTCTGAGTGCATCACTAATTCTGAAAAAAAAAAAGGGCAGCTCATTTTAGAAAGGTTGAGCAGCCAGGTGTTAATGAGCTATCATCGTAGTAAGTGCGGGTAACCACCTCACAACAGTTTGCTCAAGTTCAGACTGGCAGAGTAAGTGGCGCTCGAAGAAATCTATTTGTGTAAAAGCACACATTCACAGTCAAGGTCATGGACGTGCTTACCACAGCTGAGATATTCTGCCATCGGCTCTCTAGATTAGAGCTCTCTTCACTCAAACGCACACACATATGCACGAAAGAGTAACACAACATAAGCATCTGTGGGCAGCTCAGCTTTTTAGGCACGCTATGTACTGTAGATTAATTGTAACGTACTGTAAATGATTTTTTTCCCTTTGTGCCGCAAATGTGGCTCGTGAATCACAAGGCCCAGAGGGTACCCAGAGTTTCTGCCCATTTGTGCTCTAAATAGAAGCGTAATTTACAAAATGAACACCATTTAGTATCAAATTCATCTTTAAATTAGCAACTGAAACCATAAACTCATAAGGAAAGCGTAGACTTCTATCGATTATGATACATGATGAGTGTCAATAAGAATTAATAACTCATAGTGTGTAAATAGGCAGCACTGCAGACCAACAACATGATATGGGCGTACGTGGTTTTAGGCACTTCACCACCTCCACGCTGTGTCCTTGCTGAACATAGGAATGCTTGTGTGTGGTTCACAGCTTTTGCAGAATTTATGTGAATTAATGGAGATCTAGGTCTCTTTGCTGACCTGAGGCCATTACAAAGCGCAGCCCATAAAAAAATAAAAAAATAAACGTGGGTAGGGATCTGGTGAGATGGCACACAGTGGAAGTATAGTGGGAATATGGAAAGCTCAGGTTTTAGCAGACTGAATTTGAATGAGGCTACAAATTACTTTGAACCTTTCAGCGCACCCTTGGTCATTCAGGCTGGGCTGTTTTCTAGTCACCCCCCCCGATCATCATGGGGGGGTGATGATCGGGGGGGCAAAAATGAAAAATGGATTCATGCTCGCCTGGAGCCTAAAAAAAATCATTGCAACTCCTTCCTCCGAAACCAGCACTGCTCACAGCTACCACCCACCACCTCGGAGGTTTTGTACATTTCTCATTAGCATGAGTTTCATTGTATTTACTGAACTACTGATAGTATGATAATAGTGATAAATTTTGGAAAAATTTTGGATAAATATAAATATTCACCGGCCACTTAATAAGATACACCTGAAATCTCAGCCTTATTATTTCAGTAGCTGCTGATTTCCAGGGATTTTCCCACAGGACCATCTCTGGGGTTTACAGAGAATGGTCCGAAAAATATCCAGTGAGCGGCAGCTCTCTGAGTAAAAATGGCTTGTTGATGCCAGAGGTCTGAAGAGAATGGCCAGGCTGCTTTAGTCTGAAAGGAAGGCAACAGTGACTAAAAATAACCACTCGTCACAACAAAGTATTCAGAACAGGTTGAAACCTTGGAGCCGATGAACAACAGCAGCAGAAGACCACACCAACTGCCGCTCCTGTCAGCTAAGAACAGAAAATATGAATCAACACTGCAAAAAACAATGGAAGAGAAATAGAAGATTGAATTGACCTCGCTTTCTGCTGCGACATTCGGATGCTAGGGTCACACTTTGGTGTAAAAACATCCATCCCGCCTTGTGTCAGCAGTTGAGGCTGGTGGTCTGGGGGATTTTTTTCTTGGCACGCAATGGGCCTCTTAGTGCCAGCTGAGCATTTTTAAGCACCGCAGCCAACCTGAGTACTTTGGCTGACAAGTGCAGACATAGAGCACCTTTGGGATGTGCCGGAATGGGAGATTCATACATGAATGTGCAGCAACTGTGTGATGCTGTCGTTTCTGTAGGACCAAAATCTCTAAGGAAGGTTTCCAGCAGCACCTTGTTGAAGGTGAGTCTGTGCCATGAAGTAGTTCTGAATGCAAAAGGTCCTTCAACCCAGTACTATGGTCACCTAGATAGACATACACTGTATATTATCATCTGTGCACCAGCATATGTGTCAATTAGTCTAACATTTTAATTTGTGTCAATCCAAAGAAAGAGTGCAACAGCCTTTTCCACTTGGGATTAGCTCTTTTTCTATTTATGACAAACTGTCATTCACACTGGTGATTTGAAACAATCTGCAGACTGAGTTTCATAATGACTGTCGAGTTTTATATTATATTATTTATGTTACATTAGCATTTGTCTCTTGATTCTGTTGTATTCTTTAAACCTTCTTTACACTGACGTCAAACATCTGTAGTTATAAAGGTACAGTTAATGTCAAAGTAAAAGATAACTAATAAAATTTATGCCTGACAGAAAAATGCTTCCCACATGTTGTGTGTATAAAGGTAAAACCAACATATTGCTGAATAAACTCCCGGAGGAGTAAGTATAAAGAGCATAAAACTGGGTCAAGCAATTCCATTGTCACAATCAAATCTATTAGACACCTGGTCGCCGATGCTGATGTAGGCTTGTCTACCTGTAATATAGGTCCTGAAACAGTTTAACGTGGTCCCAAAGGAACCAACCTAGTTTTCCAGATGGCCTATTACAATAACAGAACTTGGTCTGCAGTGTCAAACCCAGCATTAAAAGTATAGACAAACGATCTGTTGTCACAGTCATGTCTTCTCTCCTGCCTCCACTTCCTTAAAGTACACCTAGAATAATTTTAATGTTTTACTTTTTCTTTTGAACAAAGAAAATATTATTTAACTTAAAAGCTGTGTAGTAGTAGCTCAGGAAGACACTTTTGCTCACATTGTTAAGGATGTGAAGGTCTAATTGGAATAAATCCCAGAATAAGCTTGCTCAGAATTACATTACATACAATCTAAACACTCCAAGTGAATGATTTAAAGTACGTAAATGAAAGCATTAACAACTTTCCAAGTGTTCTCTTACATATACATGCATCTGCATATTTTATTGTTGAAATGAGCATGAATTTGTTTTGGTTTCCTCGTCTCTATTAAAGAAAACAGAAACACAACATTCTTGAGCAGTACTCATTTCATTATCCAGTGGAGCTTAAACTGCTTAATCAATGACAAAATGGAATTCTAGTTTTTGGTAACTGCCTGTAAAAACAACAGCTTTTCATTTCTTTTCATGGAACTGCTGGACTGAATTCCAGTTATCCATTTATTAATTTACAATCAGAGATGTATGTCTGTGAAGGTTCTCAGTCATCCAGGTCATCGTAGTCAAAGGAGCTTGCAAAGAAAAGCGTCTGGACTTCTTTAAGTTGCTTGAAGGCGTTTCACCTCTCATCCGAGAAGCTTCTTCAGAGGTGTACTGTTCCTAATACAATAACAATCCCGATACCATTCAGTGCTGGCTTAATGTATCAGCTCAAGGTATCTGCAGATAATGGATAATGATCTGATATCAGTGTTGATCTGATACCAGTAAGCTGTAATAATAAAATGTAATCCATGTAATTCAGCAGGCTTAACTTGGATATTTATTTCCTGACTTGGCAAATAAAAATATGGCAAATAAATATATCCAAGAATATAAATGTGCTAAATGCAGTATAGAAAGCAACATACTATAAAACTGAGTTAAGTGGAAAGCTCATTTTCACCAATATCCTATACCACAGCGTTTAGAGTTCATGATCAGTCCATTAGCCAATTCAAATATAAAATCGGTGCACCCCAATTTAAAATAGATGTTCATTCCTTTTATACTGCAACCCCTTTGCAGCTTATATTTCACTAATCAGTGCACATTTAAATGTCCCTGCAAGAATAATCTGTAAAGCAAGAGGCATCTCTAAGAAGACACTAATCTGATGTGGCAGCTGGTACACAGAACCATCTGAAAAGTTGTGCAGAGCTGCTTGAATAAGAGCAGGCACACAGCGGGCCATTTGGCCAAAAGTCCATTTACAGTTTCACTGTCTACCGCAAGCTAATAAAAAAACCAACCACGTCAATGTACCACAAGGCACAGCGTGACA